AACAACTATATATACTTATTTTTAACCTGTTCCAAAAGAAAACCCATAAATTTTATTTAAAAAGTAGTTTGAAGACAAGACTGCTCACCTCAACTCAGCTGCTTTAAGTGAGTAAAATGAAGTAGAATTGTTTAGGTGCTAGTTTTTCTTTGGATGTTTTCTGTGGCTTTTTGTAATAAAGGGGAAAAATGCAGAAAATCTACACTGTGGTTCAGGGTGGAGCTGGCTTGAGTAGAGTGTTTATCACTCTGATCTTCTCATTGCAATGTCATCTTCCCAGGGAAACTTGTCTTCTGGTGTCCCAGTGTAACCAGCCACCTGTGCAGTTTTTCTTTAACAGAGATGCAGGTCAGTCAGTCCAGACTGTCTGGTTTGAAAAAGTCTGTTTGAAGGAAAAAAAAAAACATTCAAGGATAAAGAAAATGTCAGAACTGGATTAAGGATTGATTGTACATGCAGTTATTTGGCAGAGTCAACAAGGAAATAAGTTCTGTCAGGGGTAGGGGAGAAGGAGGAGGAAAGGTGATGCCAAGCAAGTATGAACAGAGTGGGGTTTTGTAGTTTCTTGACATGGCTTTACTTCAGACAGCACAGTCTGACTGAGAGTGCCTAAAGTTAATGCAGTGAAGGTTCAAACTGAAGCCGAGGACATGTGCCTTTGCTATTATTAAATTAGTATGGCTTTGTGGCAGTGTCGTGGGCTAATATAATCCTTGGGAGTGTATATTGGGGCCCAGAGAGTAGTATTTGAGAATTGGTGCTGAGTAGGTGTACTTGGCTTCTGCTTAAGTATTGGTAAAACCAATCCTGGATTGCTGCAGTTCTTGTATGGGATTTGACTGTAGATTCTGTCATCAAAATTTAGCCTTGATGGGCTTCAGATGTTTACTTTTTTGTAGTCAGAGGGCATCAAGTAAATACAGTTAGTGGATTGTAGCAAAATACTAAACCATAGGGTCATTAGGTATGCACTTAAAGGTTAGAAGAAGTTACTACCATCCTTGGACATGTTTAAAAGATGCACAGACCATGCTTAAGGACATGGTGTAGTAGGGGACTTGGTAGTGCTGCATTAAGGATTGGACTCTTATGATCTCAGTGTCTTTTCCAGTCTAAACAATTTTACTATTCTATTCATCACTTCTAAACTGTTAAGCTGGGACAGGAGTTTCACTATGTAAGCCACATCTGGACTCCCACAAAGAGGTTTCCAAGTCTTGAATCCCATCCCCTGGGCTCCTCTCATTGATGGGAGATCCTACCAAGTCAACAACTGCACGTCCAGAATAGTGTGGGTTCCTATGGTAGTAGGTCCTATACCATGTTTTTCTGCTCTGTAGTTGTGGTACAGAAATACCTGCTACTCCTAGATCAAGACCTGCTGGAGACAGAAGCTCCAGAATACCACTCTCAGCACCTGTAAGAATAATGGAGAAGTAGGTCATCAGATGGTGAAGGGAAAGCATGTTTCACAAGTGAACGTGCTGATCAGAGCATTCATTTCCCCAGAGGGTTATAGTTGGGTATGCCTGCTGCAGTAAAAGAGGAGATTTTTAAGGGAAAAAAAAGCCACAGTAAATGGAGTGACTGACCAAATCATGAGGGAAATCTCTCAGGACTCTTGTAAGCAAGAGGGTAACTCCCAACAGAAACAACATGTGCTTTTCTGTACTCTAGGGATAGACTGTGTGCTGGCTGTGTGTGGGAGATTCATCTTTCTCCAGGGAAATGGAAGCAAGTTTGAAGGTGGACATTGGTCACTATGTCTCCATTTGGAAGTGATGGTGTTTTCCTGAAACTATCCAGGTCTTTTTTTGTCTTGGTAGCCAGTGCGTCTGTTGCCTTTTGTGCAAGGTGGCCTTGTTTCAAATACTGTGCAGATAGCTGCAAAATGTAATTCATCAGCTCCTGTGTTTTTGTCTTGGTTGCTTTTCTTCTTTTTTTTCAGTTTAACCGTTACTTTCTACAGTCATTAGATTTTGAAAGTTAAAATTAATAAATACATTAAAAGGTGCTGGGTTTGTAGACCATATTTCTTTTATGTAGGAAAATCTTGGACTTTTGATACAACTTTCCACTGTAAGCTGATTCTTCCATGAGAAGTCTAGGTACCCAGTCCTGAGCGCTTCTTGCTGTTTGTCTCCAGAGAGGAGAGACACCAGACACTTATGTTACCATTATTGTCACCCTGCTGATTATCTTGGGTCCTGCAGCCTGCACACAGTGAAGCTGGTAGAAGCTGGGGCGGTCTCCAGCTGCAAAGGTTGGTTGTCTCTTGTGAAATTCAGGAGCTAGAACCTTTGCCTTACCTCACGCAGTGACTACATGATTACAGTCTGCAAATGGTTGTGTCTGGCTTTCAGACTACTTCATTAAGAGTTAATTTATATGCAAGTTTGGTTTTCAAAAAAAAGAACACACATGACTGATCCACCCTATCATAAATTTTTATAATGATAAGGTGGTGCAGGCTCATCTAAAATTCCTTCCAAAGGCGGTGTCAGATTTTTACTTTAGTCATCCTAACCATCTTTTCCTTCCCTGTATTTCTGCCATAGCAAGGCTTTGTTTACACGAGCTGGATCTTAATAGTTCTACTCCCACTCCCACCCCCACTGGCACTTTGCAACATATTGTAGATTATCATCACTAAACTTCAGTTTGGCTTCTTTTTTTTTATTAAGAGGCATTTGTTTTCCTCAGAATCCTTTTCCTTGAAGCAGCTCTCCTCAACATTTGACTTCAGATTTGCGGCTGATGTTACAAACAGACTGTGTACTTCAGAAACAGCTTTTTTGTGACTGTCTAGGAAGGGATGGAGGGAGAAGGCAGCAGTTGTATTGAGCAGATTCAGGAGTGAGTTTGGAACAGGAAGGAAGGAATGGACTTCAGTCTCTGCTGATAAGGATAGAGGTGAGGGAACCTTTAGAAACTGACCAGCGTGTGGATGGCTGGCAGGCTTGGCAGAGATAATGAGCATTACTGAGAAAAACTGAGATCTAGAACAAGAGAAGATTTGTAGGAGGAATCTTTATGTCCATTCTCCTCACCCTAGGATAAAAAGGAAATATGTTTACAGGGCTCTAAAGAATGCCAGAGAAGTAGAAGGTAGAGAAGGGCTGATGGCAGTGCTGGTGAGGAGCCCAGGGTGCTTTGTTTTGCTTTGTGCTGACACAGCCATGTGCATAATTGATCCAGGTGAAACAACGTGCACTCTCATTGCCACCTTGCCTCCTCCTGATGAAATCTAGGTAAAATGTTTGTCATCTGCTGTGTGTATCTAGAAGGTCAAACAACATGATGCTATCAACACTTTAACCTACAGATGAGCAGTGTAGTGGTAATGCAACTTCCTCCAGAGCTCCTTTCCCATGCCTACCTTTTAGAATTTTCCTTAATAGGGTTATGAGGCCCTAAAATGTGCTTTCAGGATCTGTGAGATGGGGGGCTGTAACACTGATAAATCTTCTTTCTTGAGCTAAGACCTCTACGCCTAGAGCTCACTCATGCAGTTGTAATTTCTAAGGTGTGTGGGTTTGCTCTTTGGTCAGGTCAAATTAGGGTAAAGGCAGAGAAGCCTAAAGGAAAAAAAAGCAAATTTAGGGGTAAAGGTTGTACTTATTTTTGGCCTCAGTGTGCTACCAGAAGTGCAGCAGGAAATGCAATGTGTCATAGACACTTCCACTGAAAGTGTTTGAAAACCCAGGTAGCTCTCTGGTAGCTGCCTTAGCTGATGTGTTGCTTATATGAGCACTGAGTTGGAAAAGTTGAAGGGATGGAAGCATGTTTGCTCCAAGACATGCATTTCTACTACCCACTAGTCACTAATGTATTTTTGGAATCTAAAAATCAGGCAGCCACAAAATTTAGCTGGAATCCATTCTGTGTTGTATGAGGTGATGAAGAAGGTGGCTGCTGTACAGATTTTTCTAAGTGAAAAATCTTTAGAAAATATTGTCACTGCTAAGAAATATGTTAATGAGGGTAATACAGGAATTTAATCTTGAGCTCAGATTTCAGTTGTCTGGTTTTGGACTGTATGGGTTGAGTTTTTCCCTCTTTTTAAGGAACAAATAGGCACATCCTAATTGTAGTATACCGCGACTCCTACCATACATTCATTCATGTACAGCTGGGTTCTGCAAGAATTTTGTGTGCAGATGATGGTTTTGACTGTGTATTAAAACTGAAAGTTTGATGGAAGATGTGAAGGGGTCTGAAGGAAATAGTAGATTTAATTCAGAAAGTTGGGCAAGGATCTTCTATCCTAAGCAACAGAGTTTTCCTCATTATATCTAGTTTTCTAAGAGTAAAGTCAGGTTTACCTCACCTGTTACATTACACTCTAGTAAACCTGGTGAAACAAACCTTTTATGACACTTGTTGCAGTGTGTAACATTTTCTTCTTATTTGTAGCATTTCACATTGCAATCCTATGGGAAGAGAAATCCCACTTTCTCCTGTCCTGGGTTTTCTTTCTAAATGGATTGATGTTGTGTTTAGGAAAACATTGCAAGCCTGTGTTGAAAGTCTCTCTTCTGAGTGTCAAGTCTTTCAACTCAAGTTGAAAGCCAGTTTTTCACCAGTTTCTTCTTAGCAGGAGTGAAAAAACATGTCCTTGATTCACCAAATAACTAGGATCCATTAAAGATTAGTTGTCTGTTACATTGATCATTTATTATTTTATTACAGTCACAAAAGAGTCTGCCAAGAAAGACACTAATTTTCAGTCAACCAGCTTTGTAAAGAATTATTTTAAAGAACAAATAATGTGGAAGAAAACCATAAACTGGAAAAATAGTCAATTTAGATATTACTGTAAATTTTCCAAGTTGCTTAAAAATAGATGTTGCTCATATGTTATACAATGCATCCGCTCTTAAATGTGGTAGTTATGTTTAAATATTTAAGTGTTTCAATAGTGTTAAATAGTTTTATACTTGTTCTAAATTAAATTCTTCTGGCAAAGAGTTTTTTATTTTGTTTCTATTGTGCTCCAGACTCTCCTACAGATTTGTGGTGTGGTGGCTGTGGCTGTGGCAGTGATTCCTTGGATGCTCATCCCCTTAATTCCACTATTTATTCTTTTCATTTTTCTTCGACGATACTTCTTAGACACTTCAAGAGATATTAAACGTCTAGAATCCACAAGTATGTAGTTTGGTGGGACTTAATGTTAGTTTGAACCCTACTTATTATTATGTGAAATGCTAGTATTTTATAGACAGTCCATCAAAGAATTTTTTTCTCTTTTACTATGCAAACAACTTCCTTATTGCTTTGGTTCTCAACCAGTGAATTACATGCTTAACTCCTGTTTTGCATAATGATAAACCTAGGGTATGTCAGTTAACTATCTGTAAATAAAGCCAGTTAAGAATATGCTAAGCTGCTGGTCTTTGGGACCTTGCATGCCTATACTAATGATATTTCTGACCTTATCTGACTCCTGTGCCTGACTTTAGCTTGACTATGATATGGAATATTAAGCATTAAGAATAACAACCATGGGTGCCTAATGTCATTAATAAAGCCCAAAGAATTTCTACAGTGACAGCTATTGTTGAAAATGTAAGACATTTTTGTATAAATTAATCTGCCTGGCTGTTTGACTGATAATAATTGAGTAAGAGAACATTAGTTAAAGATATTGCATATTTATTCTAAAAAGATGCAGTAGAGTAGTTTGTATGCTTAAATCTTAAGTGGAAGGATTAAAGATTAGTGTGGTACAAAAAGAATTAAATGTTGTCCTTCATCTATTGTTAAGTTAACTCAACACTCATTTCCCTTTGTAGCTCGAAGTCCAGTGTTCTCCCACTTGTCGTCATCCCTCCAGGGGCTTTGGACTATTCGGGCTTTGAAAGCTGAGGAGAGATTTCAAAAATTATTTGATGCACACCAAGACCTCCACTCAGGTTTGTGATGAATTGATGTGAAAAATCAAATACTTTGCACGGTGGGAGGGAAATATCTTATGCCCTCAGCAACATGTATGTAATGTGCATTAAAATCAGTAGGAGCTGTGCATTTGTCTCTTTAGGGTAAAATTCCTGTGTTAGAACAAAACCATTATCTGTCTAGATTTAGAAAGTTTACTTTGGGCTGTAATATAATTTAGAATACCCATGCATATGTTTTAACAATGTATAAGATAAACATTTGAAAGTATACCTGATAAGAATACTTAAAGAATAATTTTTAACATTTTCCTGGACTTCATCTTTAAGAAAAGGAACGGTAGGGGGAGGATGGAGAGAGATGTGGAGGAAACAAGCTATATTATGAAGCATTTGATACTAGGTAGTGTGCTTGGAATGGTATAAATAATCTTGGAAAAGTTTCATAAATCTAACTTATTTTTTACTTAGAGCAGCTTTCAGGGCTTAAATCTAAAATATGAAATTAACATAATTGGAAGGTGTGAAATATTGGTGTTCTGCAAGCATAAGTAATATAATTCGGGTTTGCACTGTGATTTTTTGACTTCTGTTATTTAAATGTTCTCTATTACAATGTTCTTCAAGATATAGCAGAATGCAAGTTTTCAGTTTTGTGTTTGTTAGGTAAGATTGTGACTTTCCTCCGTTGTAAGGCACACAAGTATATTTGATTGCTGTTTTGCAATTTATAGATTTACAAGGTTTCAGGCAAGACCAGCTGATTCTTTCTGAAGTACAGCTTACAGGTTGTAGCATCATACACAATGACCATGTTGAGCCCAGTGAATTGTGACTGGTGTAGTGCATCTTCCAGGGAGGAACCTCCAGCCTTGAATTTCCCATTTTTAATATTTTATAGTTGTTAGTTATCTGACCAAATCAGTGTTACAATACCTGATAGCGAGGGAAGACAAAGTTGTGGTTTACTTTTATATTAAAAGACATCTTTAGGCAATAAACTAGGTACAGAAGTTTCACTATACAAAGAGGACCACGACATTTAAGTGAAATACTTTTCTGTATTTTGAGTTCAGATCCAGGGAACATAAAAACACTTCCATTTTTCAGTCAGTTTTGTGCATCTCCTGAACAAAACTGTCAATAATACCCCTCATGGGCAGATCATGAACCTGGTTTTGAGGTCAGGCTTCAGTGCTTGTAGTCATAGTCTTCTGTATACCTACACACTTCATATTGGTGTCTTTCCCCCCCAAGCCTTTGGGGTACAGTGCCTGCAAGGATGTTGCCATAAAAACAGGTTCCTCACCATGATACATAGTGGTAGGAGCACCAACTTGGGTGTAAGTTGTAACAAGAGATTTTTAACCTGAATTCAAGGAAAAGCTATTCCACTGTGAGCACAGTCAAGCAGAGGCAAGGATTGTCCAGAGGTGCAGGCTTCATCTGTATAGATTTCAAGGCTCAGACTGCACAGAGCATGGAGCAACATGGTCTGCCCTCTGACCTGACTGTGCTTGAGCAGGAGGCTGAACTAGAGATTTCCTGAAGTTGTTTTCACATTGGATAGTTCCTCAATAGTAAATGTGAGCAAGCAGTAGTTGATGTAAGAGAATACCTTTCATAGCAGCTCACAGAGTTGGAGCCCTGGGTTTTTAAGTCTCCTAAAGAGTTTTAAATTCTTTCCTGCATTGCAGAAGGCTCTCCAACCAGTGATGGTTTTCGTTAGCACTTTTGGCTGGAGTAGTATCTTCCTCTCTATTTAGGCCTGAGCCTAGGACTCAGGACACTTGCTTTGAACCCCTTTGAGGGATGCCTATGAATAGAGTATTAAATAAATTTTAGATAAAAAACATCTAAAAGGCATGCTGACATTTGACCAAACCCAAGTTTCCTTCCTGCCAGTGCCCATCTCTATAAGCAAGCCCATGAGTCGTCAGACCACAATGAGTCTTTATTAGTTCCTGTGACTGTCAGATTCCTTTCTTTATGCACAGTGACCCCTGTTGCATAGAGAGGTTGCAAAATGACCCATCTCAAGCTGGCAGTGTAACACACCTCCCTGGACAATTAGGATCAGTGGAGCAAAAGCTCCATAATCTGGCTATTGATTATCAGTCTTAAAAACACACTTAGCTCCTCTCAATCTTACAGAAGGGAGAATTATTTTAATTTGAATTTTTCCCAGCACTAGGCTAAGGAGCACTGAACAGTTGAAACTGCAGTGATCTTTAGCAGGGAGTAATGGCAAGCAAGGCAGAAGGGGTTGGAATGGTAACCTTCTGCTGTGACTTACAATTCCTCTGAGTGCAGCCTAAGCAATAAATAGTGCCACACTTTATTATGGCTACTTTGCTTCTGGTTTTGGCCTTGGATTCAAACACTTTGCCCTCTGTATTGCAGTGTCTTTTTGTGCTGTCTCTTGTACCTTGTACTGTAGCATATCTACCTGGGATGGAACTTAGCACCAAATTGTCAACACCTGAGTGAATGCAAAGTGGCAATGTCCACCTGTGAGCTTTCCCAAATGTAAAAATATGCATCTAATAATCTGAATACTTCTGTATAGCTGCACTGGCTGTATTGAGTAGCTCCTACAGGAGCTTAACCAGCTGCAGCTTCTAAGAAGTTAGCTCTGACAGTTGTGTTGTGATATGTTCTAGCTAAAAGCCTGTAGACTCTAGTGCAGCTACAATAAATGCAGTTGTACTTCTGCTTTTTGTATAAGACTCTTGAGTCCATTGGAGTTGGGAAGAGGCTTCCATTTTGAATAAGTGAGCCATGCTTTGAGCCTTGACTGTTTTTCTTTCTCTTCCTATTGTGGTTGCTACTGGTGTGAAAACTAAATGAGACAATTTCAGGAAAACTGGTCAGTAGCCTGATCATCATCAGTCCATGCAGACATACACTTGAAGATGGCAACGTTGGGGTTTTTTGACAATTTGTATTATTAACATGAATAAATTTAGTCATAATTATACAGCTTAGTTTTCTAATAATCCACTGGTTTTATGTCTTTGTAAAATACACTTTAGAGGCCTGGTTTCTCTTCTTGACAACCTCAAGGTGGTTTGCTGTGCGTCTGGATGCCATCTGTGCCATTTTTGTTATAGTGGTTGCTTTTGGTTCCCTGCTTCTCGCCAACAGTAAGTACAGATGGAAAAAGTTCACCCAGTAATTACCATGTACAGTAATGCCTAATTCTTTTTCATATGTTGCTGTTTCTAATTGTTTAAAGGCTGTAATTAAGTTAAATATTTCTTTCTAGATCATGATCTCTTCCTTAGTCTAGGGCATCTGCTTTCCTGCAAATCCTGGAGGCAGTTCAGACATCTTCCGGGCTGAGACATACATCTGTCATCATCCCCAAGTGTGCAAACAAACGTGCTCTTCTGTACTCTTCACTTTTGAGATTCTGGCTTTCAGAGCAATAACAAGAAATAAATCATCATCTTTTTCCCTACCTTTGTCTTTCTCTTTTGGGCCTACAGGGCTTTGCTTTTTATATTGAAACACCCACGGAGCTGCTTCTTAACAATGTTTTTCCTTTCTGCACGTGGCACAGTAGGTCAAAAGGCAAGCTAAAGTTCCTAGGGATACTCTTTTCGTATCTTGGATCAGTGGGATAGGCCAGTTCCAGAAAGAAAATTGCCTCATAATAATACATTTTATGTTCACTGTCACTCATGAACTGTCATTAGTGTATGCATCATCCAGGATGTAATTGGGTTAGATGTGCTAGAATGAGATAGTCATCTAAAACATGAAGGAAGAAGTAATTATCTTGGACATGAAAATTAGTGCTAATTTGCTGGTTTTGTTTCTTTTCTTTTTTCTTTGGATAAGTTTTATATGTGCACGTGTATTTTAAAATTTGAACACTCTGTGCTGCACAACTCCACAAATTTTGAACTTGGTTTGATGTTACTAGCATGCAAAAAGACAAGTCAAAACAATGGTCCTGAATCTTTCCTTGCCTCTGGATAAAGAGTAGTTCTCTCGAAGTCAATAGGACTATGTTAGGATAAAGTTCAAGTAAGTCAGAGGACAATCGTGCTTAATATGGGGGCAGGCAGAATATATTTATTTTGTGAGAGTAGACCCACTGAACACAGTAAATGCTTTTATAAACAGGGGAAGAAATATTCTGTCCTTTTACTTTATCTGATTGTTTATAAGAGTACAAAGTTGAGGTGAATTTCATAACTAATTTTGAAATAATTTTACGCAAACTTTTTGCTTAGGTTTAGGGCCTTACCTGATTTGCATAGAAAAAAAGTGAAGAGTTAACTAATGCTCAGCCAGACAGGGATGACCCTAAAAATCTATGTAAGTTTGGTCTTGAGACTGAACCTCAGTTTTTAGATGAACACCAGGCCAAGGAGAATTTGGATTATCTTGTCAAAATGTGTCCAAACTGTACCCCAAAAATGCAGCAAGCAGCTGTTCTGCCTGAAGCTACTCGTTGCACAGATAGCAAGTAGTGCATAACCAAATAAAATTCTGGCTGTGATGCTTCCATCATGTAAGTAACCTCATGAAAGAGAACTTAACTGAGATTTTGTGTAATTACAATGTACCTATTTGAGCCTCATTTTCCTTTCTTCTGCAGCTCTGCATGCGGGGCAGGTTGGTTTGGCACTCTCCTATGCAATCACCCTCATGGGAACGTTCCAGTGGGGTGTTAGACAGAGTGCTGAAGTTGAAAACCTGGTAATGTTTATTTCTTCCTTTTCCCCTCTTGTTTCCTTCCATGCTTGTGACATGAAGCTTTAAGGATGAGATTCTTCTTAAATAACTTAGAGTATTAATACCTTGGCAAGCAATTGAGGCACCACTCTGCAGTCATAAAGAAAAATTACTTCTTTTAGGTTATGATTTGTCTGACTGGTTTTGAAAGTTTGTTAAGATGAACTGTGTCTGGGGATTGTCCTGCGTTCATAGTAAGGGAGGTTTTACAATCTCCCTTTACAGCAGAAAGGAGACTGTCTAGTTACAGTGTAGACAATTGCATTGCAACTTGCTAAAGTTGCAATAAATTAATCCCTTTCTATAAGGAAGATTCTAAATTATGTTTTTATATTTGGTATTTATAATTTATTGTTATTTATTACTGCATTTTAAAATTTTATTTATATCCCTCATGGCATTTTTAGAGTCCTGTTATTCCATTGCAAAGGCTTATAACTTTTAAATTTATTCTAAGTTAACACAAATGTGAAAGTATTTGTTTATATTCAGCTGACAAGATTGTGTGTTTTCCAAAATATATCATATAATATGCCTTTGACCAATTCACAGTATTTAGTAGCATATTCTAGTTTACCTGTCTACTTTCTTAAGATAATACGTAAGAAAAACAGATTGTAGAAAAAACATGCTAAACATAAACCTGGGATTTTTTTTTGTTGTGTTGACAGCTGAAGTTACTTGTAATTATAGTTTGCTGTACATAGTCTAGGAAATATGTGTAGTCCTTCCATAGAAGTTACAAAGCCATGCTTAATTATAGTATTATAATGATAATAGCAATAATGATAATAACAAAATTAGATTTTTTTTGCTACCACATTGCTTTTTCAGTGCATTTTTCACACACCAGTAAACGGGTGGTGACAGATTTTCTGAGAAATAGGAAGAAAGCGTTCAGTTTTTTTCATACCATTGGGGATGTTTTGGAAGTGTCTGTGGGAGTGTCACATGTACTGAGTGGCTTTCTTGGAGGCTGTGACTCAGAAATACCTTGGAAGAGAAAGGCCATTCACTAACCTGGCTTTGGTGTGAAATGCTGATCATTTTATGGATCTGTGATTAGGATCAACTTCTTTGATAGGTGGACATCCACCAAAAATCCCTTGTTATTAAAGGGTGACTACACCTGGGGGAGGCAAGAGCATTTCATCTCCATTCTGTTGCTAGCTGGTCAAGGGCAGTGAGTGTCATACTGTGTTCAGTGGTGGTGCACCCTTGTTTTCAGTCCTGTGTGCAGTTTTGGGCAGCACAATACAAAATGAAGCTGTTGGAGCGCGTCCAAAGGAGGGTCATGAGGATGGGGAAGGATCTGGTGGGAAAGCCCATATGAGGAGCGGCTGAGGTCACTTGGGCTGTTCAGCCTGGATAGGAGGAAACTGAAGGGAGACCTCATTGTGGTCTACAACTTCCTTGTGAGGGAAAGAAGAGGGGCAGGCACTGATCTCTTCTCTGTGGTGACCACTGACAGCCTGAGGAAATGGCCTGGAGCTGTGTCAGGGAAGGTTTAGGTTGGATACTGGAAAAAGATTCTTCACCCAGAGGGTGGTTGGGCACTGGAACAGGCTCCCCAGGGCAGTGGACATGACATCAAGTCTGCCAGAGTTCAAGAAGCATTTGGATAATGGTCTCAGGCTTATGGTGTGATTTTTTTTTTTGGGTTGTCCTATGCAGGGCAAGGAGTCAAACTCATTCATGTGTCTGCCTGTAGTTCATTTGGCAGTTTCATTTCTAGCTTTGTCTTTCTAACACACAATGGATTGGTGTCATCTTAGTCAAGACTGACAGACAACTCTCTTAGCTTAATTTTCTTACAACTTTTCAGTATTTAGGTTTGTAATTAATCCTACTGATGAGAAATGCTTATGAATGGCTTTATGTATCATGATAGATCTGGATCTGTAGTAGGACATGAGATGCATTCTCTCCACTTTTTTAGTTGCATAAAGAAAGCGTAGAATGGTGCCAAATACTCTTACTTGTGTTAAAAAAAAAAAAAAAACAGAGTAATTTGCATTGAATCTCCATGGTAAAAATATTTATATGCAGGCAGTATTTGCAGGGTATGCCAGAGAATGAAGTTCATGTATCTATGTCTTCTTTCCTCCCCTTAGATGATATCAGTAGAAAGAGTGATGGAGTACACAGAACTTGAAAAAGAAGCTCCTTGGGAGACCAACAAACATCCACCACCTGAATGGCCTAACCAAGGAATGATAGCATTTGAGAATGTTAACTTCACTTACAGTCTAGATGGACCATTGGTTTTAAGACATTTGTCTGCTGTAATTAAACCAAAAGAAAAGGTATGTATGTGGCTGTCTTTGGATATTCACAGAAATTAAGCAAAGATGATGAGTTGACAAGAAGCTGCATGCTAGAATGCATTATAAAATACATGGATGTTAGGAAAATAGTAAGTGTTCTTTTAAAAAATAAGCTTTAGTTATATTTAATAGCAGAAGTAATAGCCTATTTATTTCATGTAAGTGTAGCGTAAATTTGTCTGGGAACATGATATTTTAGTCTGTCAAAACAAAGGATTAAACATACCTGATAATTCCCTTAAAAAGAATCTGAGATTCTTCAGAAAGTAGCAGACATGGAAAATACCAGCCAAGCCAAGAATGTTTGTTCAAATCCAAAGAAAATGGAGCTGCATTAGGAAATTGGGGATTCAACAGAGGGAACATAGTTGGAATTGAGTATGTCAACAGACAAGGTGAGCAAAACCAATAGAAAATAAGGAATGTACATGCCCTTGCACTGAGTCCAAAATGGAAGATAGAAGAAAGAAATACAAATCAGTTGCATAACTTCAGAATTTGGGATTTTATTTCAGTTCCTTTTGGCAACCAATGCAATTAACTGTTGTCATTAATTAGATTGGTAGCCAAAAGAAACACAGAAATAAACTCTTGCTCCTCTGCAAATTTGAGTCCTCCTCCCCAATTTTGACGCTATCCCTGTTGAAAGACTGCTGCAGGGAAGGTCTCCCCCACAGACAAAATTAAATTAGAGCCCTGAAGTGTTAATTTGTGCTTTGCTACATTTCAAATGCAGCTGTAGTTTTTTGATTAGGAGGTCTTCCCTAGGAGGATGGTTCAACTCTACAATCCTTGCCCGTGCCTCCTTTTTAACATGCTTTTCCATTCAATTCCAAACCGTTCATTTCCTCAAGTGGACCCTTTAATAACATGCATGTTACAAAAATTCAGCCAGACTTTGCTACATTGAGGTGATTTCCTGGAATTAGCTGTGAATGAGTAAAAAATGGTCTCTTGAGAAGAAGAGCCATGTGGGCTGTCTCCTTAGCTGTTACAAGTCTCTCCAATACAGACAAGAAATCCTATATTTCTCAGTGAGAGACAGGAATAAAATTAAAAACGGAAGCAAGAGATCCTAGCAGTGCATGACTCACACCTTGGTGGGGGCAGGAGACAGAGGGATGACTGGGGGTATTTATTTTTGCTGAGCAGTTATGTTGTGGTTTTGTCATCCTGAATTTGCCCAGCTTGAAACCATTGCTAAGATCTTTGTGTTTGCTTTCTATGATGTTTTGCACAATACTGCAGTAGGCTGCCACTGTGTAAAATAAATCTCCCAAGCATCTCTCCTCATATTGGTTTTAATTATGGAGAAGCATCTTCTTCAGAACCAGGTTTCTAGATCTGTTGGGGATTCTGCCCATACTGCTGTCATTGAAAGCTCTTATGCCTGTTCAGGCCCCTGACTTTTATAGACTTCTGGTGGCTGCAGTGCCACGGGCAACAGGAATGAGTTTAAGCTTCTGCTGTGCTTGTATTTTTTCATGTAGCCACCCCAGGGCCCAGTTAGGGTAGCTGTGGGTATGGTAAGAATGAGGGAGGTGATTGCTAGCAAATCACTCACTCAAGGTCTCTTTTAATCTGTTTTGTCTCAGCATTCAGTATTTCCCTACAGTCAAAGCAGGCCAGGAAGGACCCTGTGTTTTAAACATCTTTGCTGAAGTAGTGTGGTCTGGCAGAAACAGACCAGGGAGACACAAACTGTAGCTGGCAGGGATTAACCTCCTCTGCTACTATAGCTGCAGCAGGGGAAGATTAGCATGTGTAGTATTGGGTTTTACACACCATCTTTGTTTCAGGGAGCTCATGAATGCTTATTGGCTAACATATTGTTAAATGCACCTTTTCCTGACAGCTCCTGGGTCTGCAGGCTACATGAAAAAGTTAGGAAGGTGCACATGTAGATTTATGGCATGGCAGCTGTGCTCCCACGATGAAAGGGAGGCTGCCTGAGGGATAACAAAGACATGGGCAGTTTCAGTGGAGTGGCTGACATGCTGTAAATCTCACATTTTTTGTGCAGCTCTGCTGTGAAGTACAAGTGACACTTGAGTAATGATGAGCCCAGCGTAGCAGGTGTACTCCTGTGTGTGCACTGGGCTTGTATCAGGCAGCACAGTCCTGGCCCTGTGATTCCTGATAGGTGCCACTTCCATTTGCAGGCTGCTCCTGTATTTGCACTAGCTGTGAGTGTGGGCCTGTGAAGAATAAAATGTATTCAAAAAATGGATAATGTGTATACTGAGAGCTCTTTCAAATTCCTGTCAGTTTTCAGCAGCCTGTAGTCAATTGGACCAAAGATGCAAATAGATTCTTCTAAATGTTGAAGAGCATAGTCCTTTCATTTGATGCCAAACCAAAATTTTGACAATATGCAGAGCACAGCTGCATTTTTATTTTAAGTATCAATGTATTTTGTATGGCTTTTTCTTTATATCTTTGATATAATACTTTATATTGACATTTGCCAGGGGAACAATTGAACTTTCATTTTCACAACTCTGATTGTCTGTGTTCTCTATTCAGCACTTTCTTTCTGAGCTGTAGTTTATCTATTCAGAACTATTTTTCCATTGTTTCACTGATACAATTTAGAGTACTAAACATTTGATTATTTATTGTAACAGATTTGCTTAAATTAGTCTGTTTAATAAAAAGCATTGTAGAAATGTTAATTAATTTATATTACAGTAGTACAATAATGAATTGTTGGATGAAATTGTTAAATCAGAACATAGAAGGAGAAAATATCTTTTAGATTATGCAGCATAAGTTGCTTCTTGAAGTGTACTTTTTTAGTGTGTTGTGTATTTTTTATCAAATGTGGGCACTGCTGTTTTGTCTGAACTTAGTGTCTCTGACTGAAAGTTTTCCTTGCACTTTGGTGCAGTTTCCTGTGCTGAATTTCATTTCAGCAGGCATTGCTGCATACGTGCGAGTCTCAGGCAGTGGGTAATTGCCCTCTGGTGTCTGTATGTACACTCATGAAGGTTTTCATCTTTATTCCTCTTTTCTGCACCCCAATCACTTCACCAAGCCACATTATACATGTTTAATCCTCATAAATCCTTCCCCATCAAATCAGGATCTCTAGCCCATATTAATTTTGTGTTGCACTGCTCTGAACTTTTTCAGTGTGCTGATTTTTTAGTGGGGGGGGAATGTAGGGATTAGAACAGAATGCAGGAAATAACAAATTCTGCCAGATCAGATTTGTGTAGAGGGTTACACCCATTATCTTCTCTGATTCAGTTGATTACTGTACACTGTTTTTCTCTAAGAATCCTTTATCCGAGTACAGCATTCAAAAAAAATGAAAATAGAAGAAATATTTCTCGATCTTAGCCCCTTGTCATTAAAGTTATCAATCCTGTATTTTTCATTGTCTCTTTTCTTCTGAAAGCTATATTTTTATTTTTTTTTCACACTGTGTATGTCTTCCAGTTTTTCTTTGGGAGCAAAAAGAACCTGAATCTCTGTGATTTTATTATTTCCTGTTTCTTCTGTTTGAAAAGGAATTTCAGCTTGATGTCATGGCCTTGTAGTTTCAATGCTTGCTGAAGATGTCTGAAGTATGGATACAGTTTATACTCATGCTACTTTACAGTACTTCACCTTAACCATAACTAACCAAAATCAGTCTCAGTTATTTAAATTGGGAGTACATTGTTCCCAGAGTGCTTCATGGGAGTCCTTTTTGGGGTTGAGTAGTAGATGCATGCATGAAATGATTTGCCTAACATCACCTAGCAAACCAGGTTCAGTATAAAATTTAGCAGCCTTGAATCACATTACTGTATGCATTGAGCCACTTTAAATTGTTTACACAATAAGACACCACACTTTAGAGGGAAATCATTCACCTTTGAATATGATCCAAGAAATTGTCATGTATACAAATGTTACCTGAATCCAAACCGATTTAAGGGGAGAGGATTTTTCCTCTTGGAAGAATGTTAATTACAAAGAAGTTTTATTTGGTGCATGTTCTACTGCAAATCCTGTGATGCTGTAAAAATGTTGCTTGACATATTAATTTCTCCTGAAAAGCTCACAGTTTAATGGTACAGGCTTGGCTTGCTCCGTAGGTTGGAATAGTGGGAAGAACTGGAGCTGGGAAAAGCTCTCTGATAGCAGCCCTCTTTCGCTTGGCAGAACCTGAAGGAAGGATTTGGATTGATATGTACTTGACGTCAGAGCTGGGACTCCATGACTTGCGGAAGAAAATTTCAATTATACCTCAAGTAAGAGAGTGACTTGGTTTGCCATGGATGTTTTGAATATAATACCATAGTGTTTAAAGTGCTTTGCTGGGATGTGTTCCCCCTGCACCTCTGAATGCTGTAGGTGCAGGAACTGTAGCTAGGCGTTATTCTTCCTTGAGTAAGGTCTTGATTATTTTAAGATAAACAGAATCAGTTTTGGGGATCGGCACATTTTTGTACCCTGACTTTTCCTTTGGAATATCTGTGTGTTAGCTGTATGCTGTCCTCCCATAGTCTGTGGAAAAGCAGAGAAAATCTGGTAAGTGTATACCAATCCTCAGCAGTCCTCTGAAGTCACTTGATCCTTGGGCAGCAATTCCTGCCTGATGCTTCCTTAGTAAGGGACTTTGCAAGACCACTTTAACCTCTCCAGTCATCCCTGTACAAACTGACTGGTGTTAGATTTAGAAGGAGCAAATGTGCTACCTAGAAGTGAGCTATCAGCTTTTGCTTTATTTGGAGAAGGTTTGACAGGAGAAGACCAGAGGAACAGACTAAATAGTAGGTTATTATAATCCATAATAAATAAAACTTGATGAATTTTAGAAGCTGGATGCAAGAAAGGCCACAGTACAGGAAGAAAAACCCCAATAGGGCAGTGTTGGAAATAGCCTCATCTCTCCTGCTGGGTAGAAGAAAGGCTGTTCAAAGAAATCCAGTAGGTCAGAGGTCTTCTCTCTTAGAGTCTTAATTTCATGAGACATTGTATCAGAGAAGGGTGATGTGTATATTGTATCCTTAAAACTTAGGAGACAAAGTCTGTGCATGTTACAGTTTCATGAGAGCTCTTGTCTCTTCCCTGGGCATTTGCTCTCCAGTGAAGAGGGAGGAAGAGTGAAAAGCTCTTATGCTGCAAATATGAAGTCATATTTTGGAAAGTAGTTCATCTGTGCTGTTCTGGCAGGTAGAGTGAAGAGTAGACTGTAAACCAGAGGAATTTTTTTGCCATGTTTTGCATTATTTCTCAGATCTCTCTATGTTATAACAGAATCTGTATTTACAATTATGTCTGAATGTGTGCTAGTCTATTGGCAGGGTGGCAGTCAGAGTGTATTAATTTCTTTAAGTTGAGAATCTAATACAAATGGTAATGAGGCTTTGTTTTTTCTCAAATAGTAGGAGTCAAAAAGAAACAGGTATGCTATTGAAAAAAAAAATTAAAAATAGGTACTTCCCCAGCAATTGGATCATTGCCTAATGCAAGATGTCTTTTTGTTTCTGCATGCTGCAGGCTTTGTTATTGCAGTACTCACTGGAACTAGTCATCTTTTGTATGTAAAGAGAAGTTTATATGGATTTAAATTCCATTTTTTTGTTTGTGTGTAGCATTCCTTTCTCGTGAAGACAGATGATCATCAGTTCATTCAAGGTCTACAGCTTTTTGAAAGCCTTGCCCATAGCTGTTGTGGGTGATTTTTTCATTTTGAGGAATTCAGCCCAGTTGGGCAAAATAGGATACTGAGACAGGAAAACTGCAGGTCAAATACGGTTTCTACATGTGAATGACACAGATGCTCAAAGTTCACCACATTCAATTATACATGTGAGGTTTTTTTTCATACACAGGTCTATTCACATAGTTTTAAAACTGTTTTAATCCAGTGGAACTCTGTGATTTTTTGTCAAATTTATATAAGGTTTGCATCATAGTCACAAAAGTTTTGAGTACCCAAAGGCTAGCAGGTAGGTTTTTTTTTGTGTGTGTGTGTGTGTAAGGGAAGGCTGTTTCTACTAACAATATGCAAAACTATCAAGTGCTGGTACAAAGAAGAAGAGGAAGGAATCAGGTTTCTGCTATGGTAAACTGTATGATAGGCATTGTCTGGTACTGTGCTAATGGTAGTGTCAATAACAGCAATGTAACATCAGGTAGTTATTTTGCAGCAAATATCTTCATAATTATGTGGGCAGCTGAAAAACCAGAGAGAGAGATGCTTATTAGAATTGCAACATAAAACATGCTAAACAGAGCCATTCCTAGAGAGTGATGAGGCAAGACTGAAGTTTTCTTGTGTGTGAGTTTAAATACCTACCTGGAGAAATAAAAATGTGCTTAGGCTTCTAATTGCTTGCTTGGATGGAGCTGTGTAAAGGTTGTGTTTGTAAATCTTTTCTATGCAAATGTTGTCTGCCTCTCTGACTGCAAGCATTTTTACAACAATTATTTACAGGTTAGTCTTATTGCTTTTCTCTCATAAACCAGACTGTTTTAAATAATAATCTGTGTCAGAAATGGTAATTAAAAAATATCCTTATCTTCTGTTGCAGTGCATGTCTGTTGTTAGGACTTTTATAATAGTTGTGAACACTTTATAGGTTCAGCCTCCTCTTTGCCAACCTATAAAAATGGATTGAAAAGGAAAATAAACGTAACAATACCTTCAAAATATGCCAAATGGTGTACTAAAATGTGTGTTGTTAAACAAATTAGTTTCTAGGTGTTTTTAAAGAAAATTGTTTTTTGACTTGGAAATGTTTTGTGTTAAACCCTTTTGCTCATTCAGCAAGTTTTTAATGACATTGCTATTGCAGCAGATACTTTCAAATAATTGGCATGTTATATCAGGAAATGTATATCTTCTTTTATATTGCTTATGGCGTGTTCTGTCTTTTTAAATTCTTTTATGGCACTCAGATGGTTTAGAAATTCAAAGACAATAAAAGGGTTAAGGTCTGAATTCTCTTCTGGTTTGCTGCAGCCCTTTGGAGCTGGGCATCACTAGGGTTAGATGGGGAGAAAGTCATGACAGGTTAATCTCAGAGTAAGCTGAAGTTACCCAGTGTAAGTAAGATTTTATTTCCTAGGGGAGGAAAAAAAAAAGGCATTTTGCCTAAAATTTCCCCAATTTAAGGAGAACTGACAACATGATGAATGGTGTCCATTTATGATTAGCACTGTTACAGCTTTTGACTTGTTTTTGTCTTTATGTGTGGTATTAAGATGAGTTTAGCCCTAAAGTCTTGTCAGTGCATGACTCTCAGGTCTGGCAACTCACATTACTGAGTACTGATCTTCTGCTTAAGGAGTTCTGAACCAAAAGTCCTCTTCCCAGTTCTTAAATACTACATGTTTCAGTGTGATTTGATTTGTGCCAGTTTGATGAATTACCTGTTATTCCTCTAACTTGGAACTGAAGGAGAACAAAACTTGCTTCGACCACATTCTTATCTCATTGGTACCTGAATGGGAGAAGGTACCAATTTGACTCCCTGGTGTGTTTTGAGTGAGAGCTTTGCCCAGCAGTGCTCCAGTTCTAAGTTTGCTTTGGTGCTCTGGCAGTACCATGTGTTTAGGTTTTAAATGGTGAAAGCTGTTCCTGCTTAGCCCTGATGGTAAAATGGAAGGGCTTTTATCGCATGAAATGAAAAAAAACCAAACCCACAGCCAAACACAGAAGGAAAACCAGAAAGGTATTGTAAGCTCTTTGATTCCTCTCTGGTTTATGTACTTCAAAAACAGGTTTTCAAAACTGCCCAAAAGTAATTTAGGAGTGTGAGCTCATTGACAGTGCTAGTTGTTGGTTTTCATTAACAATACCATGAGGATAGGAACGATTTCATGGAAGTATATATATAGCTTGTGGCATCAGAACAGTGGCATGTAAATGCCCGTTTAAGTACCGACATAACTGTGTACAACAATTTGCAAACAGACCTGTCCTGTTTGGTAAATTATCTTCATACAGAGTAGTTGAACACTTGCCTCCCCCCCTGCCATCCCTCTTAAGCATGCAGTTGTAATGTACACCTTTGCATTTCAAAAATGATAGCTTGTTGTTAGATATTTCTGTGCTATTGTTGATATAGGTTAGCTGTGATTATCATTAAATTACCTATTGCAATATAAAACCTGTATTTATAGTGGAATGCTGATTTTACTGGGTTTCAGGAGCCTGTTTTGTTCACTGGAACTATGAGGAAAAACTTAGATCCTTTCAATGAATACACTGATGAAGAGCTGTGGAACGCCTTGGAAGAGGTGACTTACTAAATCTAATAATGTACATCTGGTATTTAAAATCCATGTAACAATAATATTGCAGTGCTTGTGTGTGTTAGGTTTTGGATGTTTTCATCAGGTTTGATAAAGGTATAGCTGTTGATAGAAAAAAGTACACTATCATATGTGCATTTGTGTATGTGTGTGTCTATGTGTGTGCAGGCGTGTATATTGTTATGTAAGTCTTTTATAAAAAAATTATCCTTTGGGATGATGCCTTGGTTATAGTTTGATTCATATCTTGGTTTTAATGAACATTAATAGATTCTTAACAACGTGCTTTAATGTTTTTAGAATTCTAATAACTGACACACACTGTTATCCAACTTGGCACTTACTCATTTTGTGTAAGAATATAAAAGGCAAACCTTGCATACTTATTGTTGTGTCATCAGACACACAATAGCTGATTTAAAAGAGAGTTACTCATCCTACAATATGTTGACATGTCAACAGGTGCAACTGAAGGAGGTTGTGGAAGACCTACCCAACAAAATGGAGACACAGCTGGCAGAATCTGGATCTAATTTTAGTGTTGGTCAGAGACAGCTGGTGTGTCTTGCCAGAGCAGTTCTAAAAAAAAATCGTATTCTTATCATTGATGAAGCAACAGCAAATGTGGACCCAAGGTAAAAACAAAATCCGCCATATAAAAATGAACTGGTTTCTCTTCTAATATGTTCATCTCTGCTGTAGAGATGAACTTAAATGCTTTATATTTCATGTACTTTGTATTGCTGTTTTATGTTTTTGATGATACCATCATTTTTGTCTATTCAAAACAGGATGATTGAGCTTTGGCTATGGAGCAGATGATATAAACTAAGCGCTCAAAAGATCCCTAATTTCAGTGCATTCCATAGAGTAGGGAAATTAATATTCAAAGTTTATTTGTCCTGCAGCCATAGATTAGAAGACAAGAACGTTCTTGAAAATGCATCTCTGTAACATCAGAATAGCGAGGAAACAAGTTGAGTTCTGTTGACTTCTGGAAGAAAAGTTTGTTGGAAATAAATAAATACAAAAGATTTCATTCATCTCACTCCCAAAACCCCCTAAAACTAGAAAGGTGAAAAATGGCTGTAAGCAAAACCGGATACTTCTGGTTGTGAATTGCTGTCCTTTCAGATGGCTCAGATGCTGGTGTTGTAAGTTAGAGGTAAAGTAGGGGCAGACAGTAAGCTGTCCTAAACACCACAGGAATTGCAGAACAGATTTGGAAATGCTGAAGTCTACAGGATGGACTCACTAGTTCATTATTCTGTCTTGTATAACTCAGGCCAGCAGAATTTCCTGAATTCATTTCTGTTTGAACTAGAGTGTACTTCTGGAAGAACATCCAACCTCAATAGCAAAAAAAAAAAAATCAATGACAACCCCTGTTAAATTGTTCCAATAGCTAAGTACCCCCACTGTTAATTTTTGAAACATTTGAAGCGCTGGTGGAAATACTTGGGAAACAATACTGCAAACGTACTGCATCAATTAGTCTGAGCTGAATATATAGTTCCAACAAACTATGGCTTGAGGGAGAACTCAAAGTCCAAAGAGGACAATAACACAGCAAGTCCCTCAAACAGATGCATTAAGGATTTTGTATGTCATCTGGGCGTGACTCATTTTTCTAACATCTTCTCAGGGGAGAAGTGGTGCCCTACTGGTGTAGCTTTACAGTTCAGCTGACTGTATTTCTAAAACCTGTAGAGAAGTGCAGTCCCTTTCCAGGGGTTCTCTTTTTTTCTTTTCTTTTCTTTTTTCTTTTTTTTTTTTTTTTTACTCTTAGTTTATTTTTGGCTGAGCTTTGATAGATTAACTGTGATTAATCATAGGTGTGGAAATTTAATACCATCTTACTCATCCTCCCTATTTTGGCATCTCACATGTGTGTTCTCAACTTGCACTATCCATTTAATTGATCTTGATTAATGTGTACTGCAATATATATTATAATAAGGTAAATGTTTGTTTGTATCAACTCTAGGCATAACAATACAAATAATAACTTGAAACTTCTTCTTTGAATTCAGTTTGCATTACAGTCATTATTACCTTTTCCTTAATGTGTTGGTATAACTAGAGCCAAGTATTTTTTAGCTCTGCAATCTGATAGGATGATCATCAGGAAATGCTGATGTGGGTTGCTTAACTGAGCAGTTAGGGAGGCATTTTTGGTGTGTAAGGAAAACCTCCTCCTCTTCTGATGCACAACCCCCATACCTGGCACCCTTGTCTCTCACCTGGTGGCAAGCACACATCATATCGAGCACCTGAGATGGAAGACCATGGCGAGCTGCCTCCACCTCTGGAGATGCTTCTCTTTTTTTTGTTTGTTTTTCTGGCTCTTGATCTCTCTCCCTCGGCAGCCTCAAATGCTGCTGCCACCATGTCCCTTCTGCAGTTCACCCTGGAAGCAGGTGTGAGAAGGCAGGAGTTAGCGGTGGCAGGAAGAGAAGGAAGGGTGAGGTGACGTGAGGCAGAGGTGGCACTGTGGCCCACTGTGTGGTGGGCACTGTACCTTCCCCAGGGGACTGAGCCCTAGGGGCTCCCCACCACATTTCAGCTCATCTAGGCCATTCTTGTCTGCTACTGGGAGTGAAGGGAAGGAATTTGAAGTTCATCTTCTCCCTCCTCATATGTTCTGGCTTGCATATGTACCCACATTTTCTCCCTTGCTCCTCAGAGATGCCACCTGCTCTGCATGTGGCAGAGGTGTGAGTGCTTTTTGGGGGGAAGGAGGAGCTTGCCATAAAGAAGGTTGCCCTAAGTCAGACTACCTGCATGATTTATGTGATGACTGATAGACATTTAATTTGATTTTATCTTCTTGGTCCATTCTTACCCTCAAGAATAGAGTCTGGTTTTAAAGAAGTTGAAGTGTTCTGGAAAACTGTGTGAAATCTGGAGCAGAAGAGGTGAAAATCTTCATGTAGTTGCTTTGGTGATGCACAGAAACAAAACCATTAGTAACTGAGACTTTTTAAAAATACTGAATTTGTTTTAATTGCATTAATTCATATTTTTGCTTATAGAGAACAAAACTTTTGGCGAGCAACCCACTGACATCTTTTTACATTGGTTGTTCATTGAGTGTAGTAAAACCAGCTATTGCACATAGTTCAGTTCATTAGCCATCTTAAATTTGTCAGGTTTAACCTTTTATTACATCTAACTGCTAACTGTAACTCTTTTGGAGAAATTTTCTAAGCCTCTAAGGAGTTGTGTAGAGTGAGATACGCTTTCAGGACAATCCCAGGAGGACATTAGAGAGAAGATAATGACTTACCCAGTTTTCCTTTCAGAAGCTTGGTTGCTTCACATTCAGATCATATTTATTCTTCCTCTTCAGATAGTTTTCTTTTTACACAGTCAACTAATTCAGGTTACACCAGATCTTGGGTTGCTGGGAAACGTGGTGTTAGATCCTCAGCCTGTGGTGCCTGTGGGACAGCTATACCACCATTTTGTGCTTTCTTATTGTATTGTTCCTTGCAGTAGGGAGTATTGTGGTTCCCATTTTTATATAATCAGATTAGGATTGGGTTTTTGTCATCCAGCAGCCCTGCTTTTGGTATTCAGGTTGCATCTTTGGTTTTTAATGTGCCTGAAAGATGATGGGGTTTGATCTACTGAGGTGGGTGATGAAATCACGTGGCACTTGCCAAGACACTTGCTCAGTGTGGGTAGACATCACTAAGAGTCCATTTATGCCCTGAAAAAGGTACAGAAATTATGCTTCCTTTGGTACTTTTCTAGCTCTAAGTGGTATGTGATCCAGTCTCTACACTCTGTCAGCACATAATTCTGCATACAGATGCTTTTCTTGGTCTTTTTATATTTTCTTGCTTTCCCTAGCTTCTTCCTGAGATTCTCCTGGAGATTACTGATAGTGCTTCTGCCTGCTGTCCCAAAAACTATGCTCCCAGATCTGCCATGAACCTTGGAGAGGATCTAGCCAAGTGTCAGTCAGCAGACATGTTTGCATAAGATCTTGTACTGTGATATTTGAAGATGGAGCTATTAAGTCTGTTCCTGATTACTCTGAAGTCTCATTTTAGAGCATTTGTCACACCCACAATATGGACAGCAGTTTCTTGTTCGTGATAAGCTTATGTTCAAGAAATACCTGTTTAAGATAATAGTTTGATAGTATCTCTCTAAGAATGAGTGGCTTTTTTCTTGTAAATGTAGGAAGAGGTAGTGCTATAAAGAGGACATGTAATAAAAGAAGATAATATAAATTAATGCAGAGGACAGGGGTATTCAAGGCTGAGACATTCTTGGAAAACAGTAGGAATAACTTGCGTTACAAATAATTTTAAGCCCTTTGTAAAGTTGTTCCCAAAGTTCCTGAGCCAGCTACGATTCTCATGCTCTGTAGTAGCTTTGCAGAAAACTTCACCTTGAGCTTGACAATAAAGAAAGAAAAAGGCTTTCTTTACACAATTCTAGGGAGTATTAAATATTTTCTGTTTTGCTATTTCAATCATTGCAGAGAACACATCCTGCTGTCTCTATAAGACTCTTCCATAGTGAGTGTTGTGAGTGTTTTCATGGATGTCCCTGCTTCTTTTTTTTCCTTTTGGAGCTAAGAGTAGTCAGGTTATTGAGGCATTGGTGAGAAGAGAGCAAACAAGTATACATTCATTAACACTGGGGTGAAAGGACTGGTATAGCTGTGATGTGGAACATGATGAACAACTTCCTCTTCTTAAGGAGATAACACAGAACTAAAGAGCGTGCCCCTCTCCTGACTTCTACTCCTGTCTCTTCCCCTGATTGCTTACTGGCCTTTGCTCAAAAAGAGTTGAGGAACACCTGCTTCCCACTTTGTTTTTGAGCTTCTTTTAGGAAGTAGGAGCAGAAGGACCAAGCCTCTCAGACTGTGGTCCAGAACTCAGTTATCTTAAGCTCATGAGAGAGCTTAAATGTTTCTGTCACCAGATGAAGGTAGCAGTTAGATTGCATGGAATTCTCACTTAACTGTTCATGTCTTCCTTCTCTCTGATGATTCTTCCTGTCATCAGCAAGGATCTGTCTTCTCCTTTGTCATGCTGATTGCTTCAGCTTAGCTTGTAGCAGATGCTATATTCGTCCTTCAGAGCATGAACTCATACTTTCTACTGTGGAAACATAATAGTTACCTCATTCCTTTAAGTCATCCTGTTCTTCCAAAGTTGTCTGTCCACTTCTTATTGCTGGTGCCTCCTGGCATGATGGCCTCAGAACAATTCTCTTTGCATACTTCATAAAGTGATACCAGATACTCATCATGTGCAAACAGATTCAGTGTGGAGTACTACTTTTGTCTAAAAAAATACTACTTAATCAGAGGAAGACATGTTTTATGTATTTTTATGTATTTTATTTTATTTTCCCATTACTTCTAAAAATTTGAAGAATTAGGACTTTGCAAGCAACTGTTTGCAGCCAACATGTCTGCCTAAATATTCTAGTTTATTCAGATATCTCCTTTGTCTTTTTTTAACCTAATCTGCACATTTTATTATTCTCCAGTCATCATACATGCAGAATAACAAATTCATGTTTGAATAGAAATCCTGGAAATGAGGCCCCTGCCTTCAAGTGCCTGACTTCTTTGCTGGAGCTTCCTTGGTTCAACTAGCACCAGTATATTTTGAATTCTTTACGTCTTTCTTCTATCTTGGATGAGAATTTTGGTTTCTGTTCCTTTTTCTCCATTGTCTTTTGGGGTTTTATGTAAAGCAGGTGGGCAATATGTGAGCATTCACAAGGCCTGGCTGGTGGGACCCAAGGCTACCTGTGCAGTGCAGGCTGTCAGGTGCCTCTAGAGGGCATTCATCACCGGGTGGTGCCTAATCCAGGTCCTTGGATTCACCTTCCAGCCATGCCTCTTCCCTTTCAATGACTTAAGAGGGGACTGTAGAGATCTCCACGTATAAGCCTGACTGGTGTCCTCTAAGTTAGGTGGTGTCAGTGCTTCTCTTGTACAGTTAGTTACTTCAATAAGCTCCAGTTCCATGAGTATTGCCCATCTTTTGCCTTACTGCTCATTTACACAGCTAATAGACACATTCTAGTGTCTTAACTACCTATCAGTGTAATTTTATTTCCTTTTCACAGTTCTCACCTTTATTTGTGACAGTTTTCACTTCAGCCCTGTAGTTCAGTGTCTGTGCTCTAGCTTACTTTTCATTCTTTACAAGTCTTATATTTCTTCTGCTGTCCTTATCTTAGGTGGTGGTGAATTCATACCGTAGGCTCACCCTTAACTTGAAATCTTCTATCTCTTTCTTTGGGTTGTGCGTTCCAGTTAATGCTTTTGATTTACAGGGTATGCCAAGTTTTGGGTTTTTTCACTATTCAAGTTCTTGAGCTATTCCAGTTCTATTTTAGTTTACCAACCATCTCCTCTAATTAATCTTTTGCATTTGAAATCAAGAACATTAGTTCTGTGCTGCCTCGTGTTTGTTCTTCAGGTGATTTGCAATAAGGGATATGTACTTTGACCAACTTTTCTTCACTGCTTGCATGAACTAAATCTTGAAAGAGAGCAACAATTGTTTTTGGTGTAGAAATCAGTAGAACTATCTGAATCTACAGAGTTTTCCCTTTTCTCTAATCGAAGTCTGAGAAATTAGTCTCCTGAAATGAAGCCTTTTGCTCTACTTACAACAAGAAACCCTTTCCTCATGAGGTATGAAAGGGTAAATTTTGGAGTATGTTTCATGATATGCCTCCAAGTCATCTGGTATAACAAGAGGAAGAAGCTCTGTAATAACTTTAGAAGCATATTTCCTTCTATCCAGTCATGTTTGATGAAGTCATAAAACCTGCCTGCCATTCGGTTATCCATGCAAACATCTTATTTTTGTCTGCATTGCTCTTGCTGTGTTTCAGAACAGATGAGTTCATTCAAAAGACGATCCGTGAGACCTTTGCTCACTGCACAGTGCTGACCATTGCACACCGCTTGAACACCATTATTGACAGTGATAGGATTATGGTAAGACAGTTAACTGCTTCACTGTTGTTTTTTTTTATTTCCTGAAAAGTAATGTTATTGACCCTTCTTCATTTTGATCCAAAAGTGGGTAGGAGTGTAAGTCATATGTTAGGCTTATCTGAGTGAACCTTATTATCCTAGCTACTGTAACTCACAGCTCATGAAACTGTAGATGTAATGACCTGGAAAGAATTCTTGCTTTCTCTGGCCTTGTGCTTCCCATCCCACAAGGCACAAACCCACTGCAGGTGAGGTGCAGCAGGAGACCTGAGCAAATTAGCTCTGCCAGTACTGGGAGCGTGTGAAGTCACACCTGTGGGGTTCTGGACTGTCAGCTGGGCTCAGCCAGGTGTATTAATGCAGTCTCAGTGGGCCCAGGGAGGCAGGGACAATAGCTGGTGTGGGCTGTGTGAGGAGGAGCTGGTGGAGGTTCTGGGGCAGGAGACATGGAGGTAAGGAGACAGCAGCTGCCCTGGGGCAAAGGTAGTGATGGACTAGACTGGTGAGGTAATGAACATGGTCAGCTTTCCAAAGCAAGGTTCAAACAGAGAAGATGGAGCACTACCAACACATCAACCTCTGCCATCTTTGCTCCCAACAGAGGAATTGTTACACTGTATCTGCCAGCTTGTCTGCCCCACAGTGCGTTGTACAGGCATAGAAATTAGGAAATACTTGCTGATTATTTTCATAAAGGCAGTGGTGTTCCCTGTGCTCTCAGAAAATCCACCTGGTTTGTGTCCTTGACATAATATGCAGCCTGCAGTTTTACAATTTCCTGCAATAAGAACATGAGCTCTTTGCAAGCATCTTCTTCACAGCTGGGTAATGAAATAACTGGCATAGAGGGCAAACTGTGTTCATAGGTGGAACTCGAATTTAACTGGACTTCAAGCAGAAATTAACTGTCACCTCGTGGTGGTAACCTTAAAAAATACCTCTCAACTTCTGTCTTATGAAAGGGAAGCATAATTGTTTCCTTCTTTTTTTTCTTTTAACTGGATGCTCGAAACATTTAAAAATCTTTGAGTTACAGTGGTTGCTTGAACTACACAAAATTAAGCAATTCCATCTGCTAAGGTGAGTGGTGTTCTGAGGAATAGAATAGATTGTGAGCTCAGTGATTATAGTTTACTTACAAAGAGAGAAACCAGCAGAACTGCCATAAGTAGTCATGTAATTGCAAGCATTTAACATATAATAAATAAATATTTTCTTCCCTACTGAATACCTCCCCACAAGTCTAATGGATATGTTGGTGTTTTCTACAACTGAAATGAACAAAAGATTTGTGAGGAAACAACTATGACGTAATTAATAGCTCTGTGTGTTTGTTAGCTGTCCAAAGGGATTTCTGTGGGTTTTGGTTCATTAACTACCATTAACATGTTAGGCACAGAATGCTCTCTCCACAAAGATGTTTTTCTAGCTTACCTTTAATGTCATGAAGTTGCAGTGAAAATGCAATGTTTAATTCACTTTTTATACCAAAAATTGTTGGAGCAAAGCATAAAAATTACCCTTTCCCCCAAACTACTCAGGATAATTGCCAACTACATAGTTACTCTATTGCATTTTAAGTGTCCATACATTATTCTTACCCTTATGTTGTTTCAGTTTAGTCACTATTAAGATTTCTAGTTTCCTAATTTTCTAATAATCTTTAATGCTTTTGGCCTCATTAGATTATTAAGAAAGAGATTTGCAAGATGCGTCTTCGAATTGGCAGTCCGTAGTAACTTCTAATTATTTTTCGTCTTTTTGCATTGCTCCATTTTGATCTTACAGATTTCTGTAAACTGGGGGAGGGAGGAGGGTGAGAAGCCTGATAACAAAAAGAAGAAACTGACATGTACCTTTGTAACAATCCTGTTTTCTTGACATCCCCACTCAGTTATTGATTCTGTTTAGTGGCAAATCAGAATCATCATCTCATACTTAGAATGATCAGAGTTACGTCAGGTGTGCTTCTCTTACACTTAATTACTTGGTTTACTTGGGCATGTAACTCCTAGTAGGAGCAAAGCAGAATTTTGGAAGAAAAACATGTTAAAAATGACAAGAATAAGAATATTCCTCTAGAAGACTAACTATTCATTAATAAGGGCTATTAATAAAGTCAGCATTCATGGAAAATTAATTATTTACTTCAATAACAAAAAAATTGAGAAGACTTAGCTGAAGAAAGCTTTTAGTGTGTTCTGTAATTTACTTAGTCAATGGTATGTTTTAGTCATTCACAAATTTAACTTGCTGCAGATTCTTTTTCAAGAGGCAGAAATGCACAAAGAAAGTACCTGGTATTATTAAAAATCCTGGTTTTGTTTCTCTTTTAATTGAAACCTCTCGATGCAATAATGCCTTATTTATAAGCCATCCCAATCTCTGTTGTTTGCTATCGTGATAAGTTTTTTAGAAAGTGAAGGAAGAAGAACAAAGATAGAACCTGGCAGTCAAAATATTAACATTTGTCTTTTGACAAATAATGAGTAATTTATTTTTCCAACAAATTTTGGGCATACTTTTTCGGCTCTCTTAAATCAATCACTAATGTTCAAGCCCACTCCTGAACAAGTGGACATCACCTAGGGCTTTCCTCCCTTCCCATTGAGTCAGGTTGAAAGGAACCTCCTTGTCTAAGCAGGGTCAGCACTAATTTCACATCAGGTTGCTCAGGAGTTTTTCCATTTGAGTCATGAAAACTTTGAGAAATGGAGATTCCACAGTCTCTGGGCTACCTCCTCCACTGCTTAGTTATCTTCATTGTTAAATCTTTTTTCTCCTTATATTTCAGTGAGAGTCTTTTTTCCTTTTATGGCAATTGTTTCTTGTTTTCCCACTGTGTATCTCACTAAAGAGCCTTCTGTCTCCTCCGTAACTTCTTTGTAGATATGGGAAGGTTGCTGTTAGGTCCCCTGGAGCCATCAGTTCTCCAGGGTGAACACACCCTGCTCCATCAGCCTGTCCTCATGGGTGTTCCAGTTCACTGACCACCCTGGTAACCCTGTTTCAAGCTTGCTCAAATTTACCTTGCTTTTTCTTGTACCGGGGGGTGAAAACTGGTCATCATGTCTTGAGTGTGTTGGCTGCAGCCTCCAGCTTGGCATTGTCTATAAGTTTTTTATTTAATTCCGTTTGATTACTGGTTAAAGCAGAACTTTCCAAAAAGAAACTGTTCGCCTTTAGGGTTAATCCAGACATTAAAAAAAAAATCAGAACAGAAAATAATTGTGAGAAAGTCATGAGAAAATGTCAAGTTGGATGAGTATGGAAATAGGAACTGAACGTGAACTGTTGCATGTCTGCTCACACCCGTCGTAATAACCGGTTCTATTTTAGAAGAGAAGAAAAGCCTACTCAGGGAGGGAGAAAAGGAAGAACAGAATATATTTTATACAACTGTAGACAAATCTGGCCTCAGGAGTTGTTTTAATTCTCGTTTGTTCCATTCCCAAAACCATACCTCTGCTTTCATAATCCAGGTCACGCCTTAAGAGTATTTCCATTATATCTGTCTTGGTGATAAACACATTTTATCAGAACTTCAAACGCTTGAGATCATTGAGGGAAGAGCTGTATTGTGTAACGTGATACTCTCTAACCCAATCGCCTCAATGAGTAATACTACATTGCACTTGCATAGGACCTTTCATCTGGAAATTGTAACGCTCTTTATAAACATTAATTAATTAAACTTCAAACACCTGGGTGAGATAGGGAAGTATCCATACAATCTTTGGAACCAAAGTTGGAAAGACTTGTTAAGTCAGCCCATCAAATAATACTACCATAAAATTATAATCCAGCGGTTTTCAAGCTCCTTTTTTTTCTTCCCTCTGTGCTGCTCCAGCACCTAATAGGGCACTTTCTCATTCCTTTTCTTCATTACTTTGAGAAGCCAAGTTGTAACTCTTCCCATCAGATGCTAGAAGTACCCATTTTAGCTCTCTGGCACAGGTAGGCACTGTGCTGCCTGGCAGAAGGGGAGGGTAGGATGAAAGCTGCAGTTACCCCTTCTGTAATGGCTAATGCTGGCAGAAGCTCAGCTCAGGCTTGCTTCATTGGTCCCTCATTCCCTGTAGCTTCCCCACCACCTCAACAGCTGATTCCCTGTCCTGTCCTCACCATAGAGGGCAAAGGCCTTTTATGTAAACTACATCTGAAGCTTGTGGCAGCCAGTGGGCACCACTCCCAATACTTCCAGGGGGATTTTATAAAATCCTTGTCACCCATTCCTCCCCCTCCTCTCTGCTTCCTTCTCCAGGTTGAGAAATGCTTTTTAGAAACTCTGTTTTTACAGAGGGGAGAACAGAAGCATACAGAAATTGAGGCTCACCCAGGGATGTAGTGGTTCAGTAGCAAATAAAGTATATGCATCTGGCAAGAACCTGATGGAGTTGTTTGCTGTATACTATGCTGTGGCCTCTCCAGAGGAAAGCCACAGAGTCAAAACTTGTGCATTTTTCAATGACAAGGATGTTTCTCCAGAGAGTTTTCATATCAGTGCAGTACTTCTTTGAAATGGAAACTCTTTATGCAAGCAGAACTTGATCTAGTAATTAAAAACTGTCATTCAAATAGGAAGTTTTTGATGAGAGAATCATGGGAAGAGATTTGATTTATTTATGGGAAAACCTGTTGTGGTTACATTCTGAAATGACTAATATGCAGGGTAACAATACAATGCACTTCACAGCCAGACCTGAGTTGGTTTTTTTGGTCAATAGAAAATGACTTCCCACATCTTTCCGGTACTCCTCCCTCATTCGGTTATTCTCATTTTTCTGATGTCGTGTTTGCCATGGTGGAACATCTGGGCCTCATAAATCAGGAACTGTGTTTCCTGTGCTGTAGATGTCTAACTTCAGCAGAGCAATCAGTCCACCAAGAGTAAGTATAAACATCTTGGAATCAAAGAGAGAGAGGGAGATCCGCGCAGTGGTGTGTGTGGTGAAAAGGCCGTCACCTACAGCTATATAGAAAATGCTGAACAGCAGACA